TTCAAGTCATTGTTTATCTGAGTTCAATTCGGGCATTTAGTGACACTAGTAGTAAGTTCCTATGTCCCAATGAGATTGGATATAAGGGTTGACCAAACAATAAGATCAACACTTTGAAGAGTTCTTTAATTCATTACACTACTCTTAATGATTTTAAGAAGCCATCAATTTTTTTTTTCCAAATAAGTTGATGTCAAAGTAGTTGCACTTATCTAATATGTGAACTTTTTGATATTTTATGTGACAAAAAAGGATTTACAAAGCTTGATTAAGGGGAGAAAAAACATAATTTGTAATTTTCTTTTCTTTTATGTTTTGTATTTCTTGTAAAGACAAATCACAAAAAATAAATTTCCTTACCTTATCAATTTTGTTATGTTCGCTTCTTGTAATTATATTAATCTAAGGTTAACTATTTAGAATGAAAAAATTACTATGCAAAACTAATGAGTAGGCTCATTAGGCCAAGTAAGCTGTTAGACGATCAAACAAATAATAATGACCAAGCAAATTCTTAGGCCTAAGATGAATTTCAGTAGGTTCTTATGTCATGGTTGAAAGCTAAATAGGTTATTGGGTCATTAATGAAGTTTAGGCTGATCCTTAGTTTGAGAATGAAATCAACTATACTCTTAAAATATGGATGAATTATTAGTAAACACTAATTTTAAGGTGGTTTTATGGGTTGAGTAGGCAACTTAGTTGAGAATGATTTTATTATATTTGTGAGTTAGCTTCTTTAATTGATTAAGTTCACACTATTATTTTTATGGATTAAGTTAGGTAGCTTTCTACTATGCTCTTTCAGCCAATTGAGTTTATGTTATTGCATGTAATGGCTCTTTTACAGAATAGGATCAGTTTTAGTGATGTAGCATTTTTAGGTAATTAAGGACACTTTAATTTTTTTGTGGTTTATCCTGCATGTTTTAGACAATATTATTTCCTTTAACATATATATTTAGGCAAGTGTTTGCTTTTAATGTGCCGCACTTGTGCTAGAGCTTTATCTTTATTAGGAAAAATCACTTAGAATCTCTAATAGAGTGGGCTCTCATGCCCGTCTTTATGGATCTTGACGTAATGGGCGGAGTTACGTTATAGGGTTTAGATCTATCCAAATAGGATATAAAAAGCAAGACAACTTTGCAATGAGTTATGTTAGAATCTTGCCAATTTAGATAAAATAATAGTTTAAGAGAATACAAAGATAAAATATGAGTGAAAGATGGGAAATATCTATTATTTCTTTAATGAATAATTATATGATGTAGAAGAGGGCTATAGCCATCTGAAATTAGTGGTGCTCTTAGCTTTTCCCATGATCCACATTTTATAAGCATGAATTTTTGGTGTAAATACTATATAATAGCTAAAGAACGCACAATACATATAAATATTTAAAGAATAATACAATAGGTTTATAGTCTAAATAACGACTCAAACTCAAACTAGTAGTTAGTTATTATACTTGAAGAAGTCAAAGTTCTTCTAGTGGTAGTTGTTGAGTAATTCTCGGCATTTGGGTAGTGAGCTCCTTGATATTATTGTGGAATTTTCTTACAAGATTATTTGATGAATTCCCATTGTCTATTGATGGGTCTGCCTTAGGTATAACATGTGTGAGTGTGCTAAGCTTTACTAGAAAATCCTCTATAAAAATTGATGGGTTCATGTTGAACTTGACTTGGTGAGTCATCCAAGTACTCATATAGTGAGCTTGTCTTAAGCTTGACCGGTGCGTGTGTCTACTTGATTATCATCAAGGCAAGTTTGCCCATTGAGTATCCGTGAATGATGATATCTTCTTGTAGACCATTCCTAAGATTTCTTAAGAATTCAAGGCCATTTGACCAATGTTACATATTTTCACCAAATCCTTATATACATCGAGTAGGGTCATTATAGATGAGATCTCAATGACTAAACTATGGTAAAATAATTTAAATATTAAAGAATTTATTTATTTAAGTATTTCTTGCATATAAAAGTGGTTGCTATGTTTTTTTTTCAATAGTAGTCGTAGAGTGTATGTTGAATGACATTTGATATAACTAATTTCAAAGAAAAGTCTTGAGGAGTTTACATCTAATCTTTTAAATTTCTTCATGGATTGTCTATATGCAGATTTATTTCATGTAACATCAAGCTATATGATCATTTGTTGATGTAATTCTATGGTATTTGTGTAAATTTATTTTTAAAGTTTTCAAAATATATTGTGAATGATAGTTGTGTATTATTTCTTATAATCCATGCCATATATTATGACTAATGGTTTTGTTATAAACACTTGCATTATATTGTGTCATAGTAATTGTGATTGCATTCTCTATTGTATCAATCCAAGATATAATTTATAATCAAATCAAAATTGAATAATTTTTTAAAAATGATCAACACTGAATGAACGATCAAATAATAAATAAGTTATTCTTGATGAATATCTATGAATCATGATTTTCAATGCGACGGTGAACCATGATTGACCTATGATGGTAACATATACAAACCTTCTTTGAACTTCCTTCTAACTATGGTTTTTTTTTTTTTTTTTTTTTGATACATACATTAGTTGGCTCTCTATTAAAGTTGTGTCAACTATGTTAGATATATGATAATGAAATAATATAATATCTTGATTTATTCAAACCTTCCAAAGTCTTATTTGAACCTTATGTGAATCTCATTAGAGCCTTTTTTTAAACAACATTCAAACTTTATTCTAACTCTATTAGATTCTAATTTAGAATGATTGTTCGAACCAATCTTTGAATGATGATTCAAATGTGTTTTTACTAACGATTAAAAATGTTTCTTATTCTTATAAAGGAGCATCACATACATATCACACAATTCTTACGTATTTATATATCTAGCACCCAAAATTTGATATTTATGCTTATAACAACATGGTGTCATAAACCAATACATAAAAATGTTCATTTCACTTTAAAAAGACCCTGATGGTGATTTTTATTTTTTTTGTTTTTTGATGATAAAGTATCGAGTGGTTTACATATAAATATGAGTGTTGTATGTAATTACATAAGAATTGTGTGACATGTTAGTAAATGCCCCTTTTACAAAATATGATCCCCATATTATTTGAATTCTGTTCTACTCTTTTTTAGCTACTTTTTGAATTATTTTTGCTCGTAATATACTTAAGTACTCTACGGTAAATGTGAGTGTATCATTTGCCCAATTAATGAGTAAAAAGCATAATTTCTCAATTTAAAATAACAATGGGCCATATAAGTTCAAACTCTCTCTCGAAAAAAAAATATTACCTCAGGAGTATTGATACATCAGTACTCCAATGAGGAGGTGTCATGTGACATTATGGTAGGACTTTTATATGCGTGACACCTCCTTATTGGAGTACTAATGCATCAGTACTCCTGAGGTGATATTTTTTCCTCTCTCTCTCTCTCTCTCCCTCTCTACATAAATATTAATCCACTAAAATATTGAGATTTTTTAATATAAAAAAGTTAAAAATAATAAAATAGGTATTTATATTCATTGATCGAGAATGGCAACTGATTATATCAGTTTCTTTTTTTTTTGCCTTCTTATAATTCCAATGAAGAATTTGATTTTATGAATATATTCTTTAAAAAATGCAAACAATTAATCCATATCTAAATTGTCACTCTGATAACGTCGTAGATCCCGGCCATCTCATTGGACTCGACTTTCTTTATTTACATTATCACCTCTACACACACAATATATATATGTGCCAAGAAAAGCCAACCGACCATCTCCATTTCCACTTACCCACTCTAATTGTCTCCCACTGGTGTCTCATTCATAAACAACCAAAAGCTCGAGTCTCTGCCGCCGCCTGGTGCACCAAACCACACCCATCATGTTCCCATTCTTGCCGGAATCTCACGACGAGGCCAGCTATGGTCCGCCGGAGATGATGATAAGCCCCGCCGCCGCTGCCGCGGCTGCCGCCTCCCCTCCTATATACATATATATACATACATCTATACATACATGTATATACATATATATACATACATCTATACATACATGTATATACATATATATACATACATCTATACATACATGTATATACATATATATACATACATCTATACATACATGTATATACATATATATACATACATCTATACATACATGTATATACATATATATACATACATCTATACATACATGTATATACATATATATACATACATCTATACATACATGTATATACATATATATACATACATCTATACATACATGTATATACATATATATACATACATCTATACATACATGTATATACATATATATACATACATCTATACATACATGTATATACATATATATACATACATCTATACATACATGTATATACATATATATACATACATCTATACATACATGTATATACATATATATACATACATCTATACATACATGTATATACATATATATACATACATCTATACATACATGTATATACATATATATACATACATCTATACATACATGTATATACATATATATACATACATCTATACATACATGTATATACATATATATACATACATCTATACATACATGTATATATATACATATACATACATCTATACATACGTATATATATATACATATACATACATCTATACATACATGTATATATATACATATAGATACATCTATACATACATACATATATATACATATATATACATACATACATACATACATATATATACATATTTATACATACATACATACATACATATATATATACATACATACATACATATATACATACATACATACATATATATACACACACATATATGGATATATCTATATACACACACATATATATATATATATATATATATATATATATATATACATTTATTAAATAATTCATATTTGTGGGAAGAAGGCCAAAACCAATTCCTAAGTAATAAAATAGATTAGGAAAGTCGGAGTCTTGAAAGAATTTGTACATAACAATGGGCAAAGTACGTGTTCTTTATGATTTGAGGTTATGGATGCCAAAAGTAAACTTTTTATCTTCATGTCTAGCTTTTACCGTTTTCACTCTTTCTTTATCCTCAGTTAAGCACTTTGGTTGATCAGTTCTCATTTTTCTCTTTACTGTCTCCTCAGACAGACAAAGCATCACTGCTTGCTAAGGCAGTAGAGCATGTAAGAGACTTAAAGCAACGCATTGCTGAAATATCTCAAGCACAGCTCTTTCCAACTGAGACAGATGAGATCAGCGTACTTCCGGGAAGCCTTCATCCAACTTCCTCAATTTCATCTTCCGACGGCTGCCAGATGTCAGTTTTTGAAGCTTCGGTATGCTGCGAAGACCGCTCTGATCTCCTCCCGGAGCTCATTGAGACCCTACGATCGCTTCGGATGAAGACATTGAGAGCGGAGATCGCAACACTTGGCGGCAGAGTTCGGAATGTTTTGGTGCTTGCTAGAGAGAAGGATAAGAAGTATGGTGAAGGAATGGGTGATGGTTCTGATGAGGATGGAGGAGTGTTAATCAAAGAAGCTTTAATGAGTGTGGTCAACAGGTCGACGTCGGCTGTTGACCAGTCGAAAAGAAGGCGCGTTGTCGATAATACTGACATGTATGTCTAAGTAGCCAAAAAATATTAGGTCAGAAGTCATAATGCATTAGGACACTAAAAGTGGGGCGCTATGTGCCAAGTGCCCAGAAAAAATATATTATGATAGGGTCATTTTGACACGTGATGCCCCACCATTAAAATCTTAATACATTAGAAGTTTTGACCTAATATTTGTTCCTAAGTAGCAACCAACTTACAGCTAGCTAGTTTATGGTACTATATATTTTGCTCTTCATGTTTCTTTGTGGACAGAAATAATTGTCAGAATTCCAGTTATAAATTTTTATTAAATTTGCTTATCTTTGTTTAGGTACGTATGCATCAAGATCCGCGTCATTGAATGAAATAGATCTTGATGTATTATACTAAGTGATGATAAGTGTTTTTTTTAATAAGAATTTGCATTGAGCATTTCTTGCAGGATTTCTGACCTTGTCTGTTTGGGTTTTGTTTTAGGAATGATTAACGGTTTGTAATGGTTGGTGTTTACTGTTGGAGGAGTAAAATAATTGCCCGATAGGCTATTGTTTTGAGGAAGCTAATCTCAGCAATCCAAGTGCCGAGAGAACATTACTTCTTTATTGTTTCTAGCATGCATATGAACAATAGTTAAATAACTAAGTTCATTAGTATTGTAACACAAAAGTGGTTATGACAATTCTACCTTTTTTTTTTTCAGTTATGGTTTGAATGTGGTTATTCACAAGATGCTATATTGTTGTACTTTCCTACTTAATGCTAGATATCTAAACTATAAGCATTTTTGTGCCATCTGTCTCTTGTTTAATTAGTATTTTGAGGGTAGACTAATAATATAAATTAATAATGATGAGTTTGTTTTTATAAAGCGAAGAATGAAGGCCTAGAAGCGTTTATCGACCACCGCATATATATGGCAACTCTTGTGTGAGTGCGTATGTGTGCAACATTAGTGCATAGGCAACCAATGTACTTCACTAGCATAAAATTTTCAATATTAGGTTATGGGAAGTTGGCTTGGTTAACAAAAATACTGGTCCCATTAATGGATTCCCAATATTGGAACAAAAGGGCCGTTCTATTGTTTACATGATATGTTGAGATCTATTTTATTTGAAATATTTTAATTTAATCTTGTTGTATTAGTGTTTTAAGAAGATGGCCTATTGTTTATTGTGACCAAAATTTGAGCTCGTGAGGATTTGGTATAAATGCGGGAGAGGATTATAATGTAGAAAGATATTTTTTAATGAATGTTAACTCCAACCTTGTGTTTAGGCATTTGTCTTTATTTTTGGTGTTATAATAGTGTTTGCTCATTTTGTTAAGATTGATTATGTTTATTACTGTAGTAAATTTTTTTAACTTTCCAAAATTATTTCTTTTCAATCCATCTATAATCACATATTTCTTTTTTTGCCTTAGTGATCTCCATTCATTAAAGGAAATCAACCTATTACTGCCAATCTAAATCTGTCAGAAATAATTAAAATGCCATCAAATTTTAAAATTGTGACAGCTTACAAACAAATTTTTGGTGCATAGCTAAAAAGCTTGTCGAGAATTTATTTTCCGACATTACTATCGATGACTTTTATTTCGCTAAGCATTTACGATGACCTAGGCTAGAGTTATTGTATAAAACCCAAAGTGTCGTTTACCCATCTGTTATGTGTCCATAATGGTATCGACATTCCAAAATCTTTGAATGTAGTTCTTAAGTGCTAGTCGGTTATGTGTCGGTAAGCCATCAATATTAACTGATATCGTTACTGACGAGCATTTTGTCGGTAACCACGAACATCTGTTACTTTATTGTGGATTTTAGTGGCGTTGTAAAGCCCATTGACACTTCGATAGTGCATCACAAACCTGTCGTTCTACCGTCAGTTTGATAACTGAATGATATTAGGCGTCAGACTGTCATTGTAAAGCCATCGGAAAATTGTAGTAGTCAAAAATAAATAGTCAACAATGAAATTTTCACACCCGCAATCGTAAAACACATATACATCCCTAAACCCCAACTATCCAAGAAGTTAATAAGACAATAATTAACGACTAAGTAAAATAAATACATTGAATCAACTACAAATGAATATCTGTACAGAGAAAAATATGTTCGATCAAATTATTTCCAAAAAATAAAATAAAAAAGTAAAATGAACAAAACATCTCTCTAATCATTATCTTCTTCCTCAAACTCAGCCAAATCAGATGCTTTCCTCACTGCTATGCCCAACGCCATATCACATCCAGCTCTGACTTCATTGTCTCCTCGATCTTCGACCTTGTTTAGTTGAGCTGACCAGCAATCGCGGCAACAACTCAGGTCTTAATATTTGTAGATAATGCGTCAACCCATGTACATAGCTCATTCTCCTAGGTAGAAGAAGTGGATGCACCGATGGAGGGATGATTATCGTAAGGCTATGCTTGACACTCCAACTTATAAACTCGACCTTTATTCTTACCTCTGATAGCCTTCCTCCACAGGTCATATCAGATGGCTCACGATCTCAAATTGTAATACCACTAGCCTGCTGGGTTCAACTTTCAGAAGGTCTCCTGCGAAAAATAGGTTAAGAAAAATTATATGGCAGATTAACTTTAGTAAATATTTGAATTTTGAAATAGTTAATTCTCTGAATTACATGGATCTCCTGTGATTTTTTGTCTATCAAGAACTGATCAGCTACTGTTTATGGGTGCACGTGTATAACCCAATAGCAATTTATGGGTACACATGTGTAACCCGACAATAGAGAGTTCACTTCCCAAGTCCAGAGTCTATAAGTGAAATGAAGTAGTTAGAATATATTTATTTTACAATAAGATTAATAGCTTAAATTAAATCTTACCATACTCTTGTACATCATATACATGGGAACGCTGCACTTGAAGACCTTTATTTTGAGCATTTTATGTTTTTCTTAAATATCTAATTGGTTCTTATTTATGTTAAGATTGATTCACGTTTATTATTGCAGTAATTTTTTTTAAATTTCCAAAATTATCTTCTTCTCAATCCATCTATAATCACATATTTCTTTTGTGCCTTAGTGATATCCATTCATTACAATAAATTAACCTATTACCAGCAATCTAAATCTGTGAGAAATAATTAAAATGCCATCAAATTTTAAATTTGTGACAACTTACAGACAGGTTTTTGGCGTGTAGCTAAAACACTTGTCGGTAATTTATTTTCCAACATTAATATCGATGAATTAATAATGATGAGTTTGAGTTATGTGTTAGTAATGGTATCGACAGTCCAAAATCTATTGAATGTAGTTCGTAAGAGCTAATCGGTTATGTGTCAGTAAGCCATCAGTATTAACTGATATTGTTACCGACGAGCACTCCATCAGAAACTGCAAACATCTATTACTTGATTGTGGATTTTAGTGGTGTTGTAAAGCCCATTGACACGTCGATAGTGTATTACAAACTCGTCAGTTTACCGTCAGTTTGATAACCGAATGATATTAGCCGTCGGAAAATCACAATAGAAAAAAATAAATATTCAACAAAGAAATTTTCACACTTGCAATAGTAAAACACATATACATCCAAAATGATATAATACACTGCACAATGTAACTACCCAAGCAGTTAATAGGGCAATAATAAACATAGAAGTTAAAAGAATACATTGAATCAACTTAAAATGAATATATGAACAGAGAAAAATATGTTCGATCAAATTATTTCAAAAAAAAAAAAGAATGAATAAAACAACTCTCTAATCATCATTTGTCCTCTTATCATTATCCTCTTCCTCGAACTCATCCAAATCAGATGCTTTCCTCATTGGTATGCCCAATGCCAGATCACATCTAGCTCTGATGTTATTTTCTCCTCAATCTCCAACCTCATTTGGTTGAGCTGACCAACAATCGTGGCAGCAACTCGGGTCTCAGTATCTGTAGATAATGCGACAACCTACCTACGAGCTCATCCTCCCAGGCAGTAAAAATGGATGCACAGATGGAGGGATGACTATCGTAGGCCTGCGCTTCAGACCCCAACTTATAAACTCTATCCTTCTTCTTACCTCTGGTAGCCTTCCTCCAAAGGTCATATCAGATGGATCACAATCTCAAATTGTAATACCACCAACCTGATGGGTTCAGCTCTCATTCAACTTTCAGAAGGTCTCCTGCAAAAAAAAAAAAAAGGTGAAGAAGATTTTGATGGTAAATAAACTTCAATAAATATTTGAATTATGAAATAGTTAATCTTCTAAATTACGTGGGTCTACTGTGATTTTTTTTCTATCAAGAACTAGTCAGCTACCGTTTATGGGTGCATATGTGTAACCCGACAGCAGTTTATGGGTGCAAATGTGTAACTCGACAATGGAGGGCTCACGTCCCAACTCTAGATTCTATAAGCAAAATGAAGTAGTTAGCATATATTTATTTTACAATAAGATTAATTGCTTGAATGAACTCTTACCATCCTCCTCTTATACTCCATATAAGTGGGAGTGCTCCACCAGTGTGTTTGGAGGTCCCAATGATCCAATAGCCAGAGAGACAATTGAGATTCTTGCTCTTTCTCTAGTACCAGAGAATATAAGGAGTATTAACACAACTTTTGAACATCATCAAAAATGTTCCAAAGGCAGACACTCTCCTTGCACAAGAAGTTCCTCTGGATGTGGGCTCTGTGCTTAGGGCATCAGAAGAACTGTTTCTGTAAAATGCAACTAAAAATGCTAGATTGTACATATATAAACATAACTTAAGATTATTGTGTTTGGTGTACACCGCAAACTCCTAGAACCACATATCATGAATTGCCAACGTGATCTCCTTTTAGAATTAGTATGGAGAGTTGCACTTGCTCCAGATAATATCCCGAATATCATGGATGACAATTGTGATTTGAAAAAAATCTGTAAACAATATATGATTAGTTATTATTAAATTTAAAAAAATTAAAGCATAATTTTCAGTATCTAAAAAACCTACGACATCCTCATAGGCTTGAACTGGTAGCTGCTGTTGTTGCTGCTGTCTGAAGCAGTCAAAACAACAACTGGTGGTTGTGCTGTAGTAATAGTTGGTGGTGGCGCTACAATAGAAGCTGGTGGCAGTGGTGTTGTGTTATCATCTGAGGTTTGCAGTGAATCTGAGAATGTCGGGGTCGAGGCCTGCGAGTATGAGTCTGTCGGAAGGCTGGACGTGGTAGACTACTTCTTTTGGTAGCGCTGAATTTTATTTCTCTTTCAGTTTAAATTTTACATGAATGACCAAATGAAAGGGTTGCATTAAAAATATTTTTTAAGACTTATCATTTTGGGGAGACTAGCCCTCCATATTGCTTAAAAAGAAATGAAAACAAGTGCGTAACCAGATATAATAATTTTAAGTGGAATTGTAAAAGAAAAAGAAAAATAAGAAAAAAAAAGGAAAGTGTCAAAAGATAATAATGTCTGAGAAGAAGTTTGAGGTTCGCATAAAAGATAAAAAGCTTGGGAGATGTCTTAGCGGATCTTAAGCGATAAGATTTTTCAAGTTCTTAATGAAATCCATCTAATATTATTTTTAGGAGAAATGTTAAGTAGGGTTAGGTTAGCTAGTTCTACTTAAATTGATTTAAAATT